CGAAAAATTTTCCCTTTCCCCCCCCCTTTATCCATTCCCCTTCCTTGTGAAGTTTTTTTTTTTTTTTTTAATCTGAAGTGGTGTGATTGTGATTGACACTACTGCAGAAAGATTTGGAGTCAGAGCTTACTCCCTACTAATCTGTTTCTGCCATTTTTTGCCCTCCTTGTTGGGATACATTTGAGTTAAAATTGCTAAGGCACATAGACAGACCTTTTCAGAGTGTCTCTAGAATTACCTAGAGTGTATCCTTGTAAAACAACTACGGTAATTACCTCATAAGTAGTTTGCACATTAGCTGACTTTATTCACAAAAAACAGCAGTTTATCTGTTTGGGGCTAAATCTGACCAGATTTGGTTAAGCAAGCGACTAATGTAGCTTAAAGGGTTTACATAATATGGTCCCCTTCTGTGACCCAGTTAAATGAGTTTTGTGAATAGAACCAGAGGAAGAGAATGGGGAGTCTAAAATATCATATCTCAGCTTTCTTTTCTCTGTGTGTGCCGTTTCTAGGCCCGTGAACTCCAGACCCTCCACAACCTTCGCAAGCTGTTCGTTCAAGACGTCACGACTCGAGTTAAGAAAGTAGGTAGCTCTTGAAACACATTGAAAACTTGTGAATCTTTGAAACACTTTATCTTTGAATCTTTATAAAAACCTCTTAAAATGGAGATTAGCAATTCTGTCCCCAAATTGCAGGTTGGAGTGAGAAGGTAAGGTGTGAGATATTGCATTTGCCTAAAGCCACCGCCTGAAGTCATTGCAAGGATGGGATTTGATGTGAAAGCAAATCTATGTTGATATACCATGTCTCTTAGCTGTTATTCTGTACTAGCTACACTCCTTGAAAATCCTCTGAGCCACTAATAACTACAAAATTAGGTAGTAGTGTAGTAATTTGGAGCCTCAACCCAATATTTGGAAGCCCTTTGTGCAAGTCAGGTGTGTTCTTTCCATTGTAAAGGAGATTCACTTTCTTCTAATTTCCCCACATAGCAGTTTTGAATTTTTGCTCAAATTAAGGCAGAAAATGATTCTGTTGAATGATTCTCAGTTAGGTTACATTAAATTCACACTCATTCCCAATTCTGGAACCCATTCTTGCCATTGCTTATCTTGTATGATGCACATTTCACACTTGGAATTACAGTACTTTGTAAGGAGGCAACTGAAGAATAAATTTCAGTATGGACCGATCCATATACAGTAGAACCTCTGTTCATGACCATAACTCGTTCCATAACTTTGGTCACATTTGGTTGTGACCCAAATGTAATTTTGGAAGTTTGGTGCTTACACCCAAAAAAATAGCGCGGAAGGGGAAATCAGCCATGAAAAAAGAATTATGAATTTTTTGGTCAGAATCCAATTTGGTCATGGTCAGAAGCCTTCATGACCAGAGGTTCTAGTGTAGTTTTATTTGGGTTTTGCACTGCTGGTGTCATTGCTGTACTATCTCACAGGATCTTCTTCTGTTCCCATCTCCTTCACTGCTGCAGAGATAAATGTCTTCTTGCTCCTTCTTTCCAGAGTGCGGAGTTGGAACCCGAGGACAGTGGGGGGGCTCATTCCCAGAAACAGAAGATTTCCTTTCTTGAGAACAACCTGGAACAGCTTACAAAAGTTCACAAACAGGTGAGTGGCTGAATGAGAGGCAAGCAACCACAAAGAGGGATGGAGCAGATAGAGAGAAGGAGGACAGCTAGTGAATTCAGGGGTATTTTTGTTCCTTATATGGTAGTTAGTCAATTGGATGGGAATCTTTTTCTCTGTCTCCATTTTGCAGTCACCATGTATTGTAGCAACACTGAATGTTCACAAGGCCATCTGGATGCTCTCTCAATTTTTTTTCATTCAGCTAGGACTCATTTGGCACAAATCCGTGCAGGGACATGTTCTCTGCTTGCTTTGGAGTTCACATAATGCAAGATCAATATATTGCCCAGGCCTACTCTCTGACTCTTTCTATAATAAAACTCCTACACATATCTGTTTGCATTTAATATTATTTTTGCTTAAATTAGGGTAATTGGTGAGCCTAATAGATATTGCTGAATGATAACTCCTGGAATTTATTTATTTCTCGCCTTTATCATTTTTATAAAAAATTCAAGACAGTGAAGATACCTAATACTCTTTCCTCCTCCCTGTATCCCCCACGATAACCCTGTGAAATGGATTGGACCAGTGGTGGGTTTCAGATCCCGTTGCAACTGGTACGCTGCAACAGTCCACCACGTGCATGCGCGCTGCATGCACATGCATACTACTGCCCTGCGATGCTCCAGTTGCTCAACGGAGCACCACGCAGGCGCTGTACGCTGCATGTGCGTACACAAATGGCCCGGTTGGGTCAAATACAGGTAAGGAACGCGGGCAGGCGGGTGGGCCCTCCAAAGCACTGTACCGGAACGGTGCCTGCTGCTCCCAGCAGGCACCAGTACACCCGTACCGCGGTGTACCGGCCGTAACCCACCACTGGGTTGGACTGAGAAAAGAGTGATTACCCCAAAGTCACCCAGCCAGCTTTCATATCTAAGGCAGGATTAGAACTCACAGTCTCCTGATTTCTAGTCTGGTGCCTTAACGACTGCATCAAACTAGGTAAAAACATGGTCAGCTTTGATCAGGCTGCAAAGTTGGCTAGAAAATATGGTTCACCAAATTCAGAAGGCAACAGGTTTCTTCTTCCAACTTTCCCATCAAAATAGAATCACTTTTTCTAACACCAGATTTAGAGCCTATTGATCCCAAAAGTCATCACAAAGTCTTGGCGTGCTGAGCTGTCTCTCTCCTGTTTTCTGCTAATCCATAATAATTTGCCCTTCATACTGTATCAGTATCTTTGATTATTTGGCAAGCCAATCCTGTGGCTCAGACGGAGAATGGTTTGGGAGTTTAAGAGAGGAGAGTTGTGTGCTCGTTTTGTGCTCATTTTTTTATTACCCACTGCATGAGGGTGTATTTCTGAGTGTGTAGCAATTCACAGGGATTATATAGCATGTAGTTCCATGGAATTTAGGGAATCAAGAAAATATGTTTATGTTTAGATAAATTATGCTTATGTACAGAAACAAGAAATATAATATTGTAAAAAAAAATAGAAATCAATGTGTCAGAATAAGATCTTCTGAGAAAAGGACATGTAGGGAATTCAGCAGGGGTTTCCACAAATTACTGCATGGTGTGTTGTCTGATTATTGCTGTGTTTTCATGCAAGCATTAGAAGGAAATATTATTCGGTAGCAGAGGAAAAGAGGGAGAAAAACCTAATTATATAACTTGGTGAAATGCACATACGTGGTTGTGTACATTCATTGGCTCTTTGCTTATAGCTTTATACATTTTATTTCAGTGATAGATAGGCAAATTAGTGCCCTCTGGACGTTTTACCATATAACTGAACTATTCACTTGCTTGCTTGGCCTAGATTAACTCTTCAGTCACTAATGTCTCTGGAGGTAAACATAGCACCATCTGTAAATTAGTTAGAAGTTTAAATATAGAGAGACCAAATATAGCATAGAGGAGTATGGAGATGATCTTGAAGAAGGTATGCAACAGCCATTACAAAAATATTAGCTTAGCTTGGGAAGATGGAGTGGGGTGAAGCGAGGAAGCAGCTCAAGATTGCCCTGGCTATAAGAGGGAGAGAGAAACTTTGTCAGGCTTTCAAGATTCTATTATTATATCCTATAACAAGGACAGAGTTCAGTGGTAGGTTTCCATTTTTTTTTACTACCGGTTTGCATGTGCGTGTGACGCATGTGCAGAAGCATCCGGGCGGGTGGGCAGAGCCTTCTGTCGCCACTACTACTGGTTCGCCTGATCCGGGCCGAACCGGGAGCAACCCACCTCTGGTAGAGTTCCATTAATTCTTATGAAGTCTGTTTTCTAACTTGGTCTACCTTGAAACTGACTGATATCAACATAAACATTAAAAATGTTACTTAAATAATCCTTTATGATTAGCCAAACTAGCAGAGAGTAACGAGAGTTGAAGTCCAAATAATTAGGCCTGTGTCATTCCATCTTTCCCTCCATAGATTTAGGGTGATACAGATGGGATCTTGCATACATAGAGAAAAGGAGTGAATACAAAATTGATACTTGAAACATGCCATTGGAAGATAGGAAACAGATATTTTACAGAATGAAGTCAAGTTTGTCTTTACCATCAAGACAACATAGATCTGCTACAAGTAGTTCTGCACCAAATTTCTTCAGATTATTTAATCCACTTTTCTGGGTTGTGTAACACATTAGACTCTAAATAAATCACCCAGGCAAATTTCACACAAGACAGTAGACTAAAATGTTTGATTTGTGGTTTTGAATCAGTGCATTGTGTGAATCCAGCCAAAAACTGTAAGATCCATAGGGCACTCCACTATTTCCCTTCCGAAAACTATTAGTATTTATCTCCCCTTCTTAACTGCCTTTCCAAATAGTGAACATTTTGAAGCTGTTTTGTAAGTTTAACTACATTTATTAAGAAATAAATCCTTGAAAAATATTGTGGGTTTTTTTGTGGCTCAATTAGCATTCTATGAGTGTTTCAAATTAATAAAGTAAAAAGGATCTTAAAAAGCTATCCAGAAATTTGTTGTAGCAACAAAATGATTCCAAACAGAGTGAAGGAACCATTCTCAAATAATGTGTTCTTTTTTTTTTTAATGAAGATTTGTGAGTGATGAAATACTTGAGAAATATTTATTTAGATGGAGGCAGAAAACCTGAGGAATATGCAGCTGGAGGATGAGCTCATGAAGTTTGCCTTTTTAGTAAGTCCAATCATTGATCCATTGAGATAGCTGAGGTCAAAGGTAAATACAGCTGTCATACAAAAGGAGTTGGCAGCAGGTAATAGAGTATTTCAAATTCAATCATAAATCAAAAGCAAGAGATACAGATCATATCAGAGTGAGACAGTTGTAATACATGGCCCATGTAATGAAAGCACTGAGAATTTTGTGGCATAAGGCAACAAGGCAGGTATTTCAAGATGTTTCAGTGGATCTTTCTAGATCTACTGGATTCATCAATGCATGAAGCCTGGCCTCAAGACCTTGCACACTTGCTGGGCTTAGTTCTCTGTTCTTTCATACAGAGTGCAGCATGGACGTATTGAGGGAGTCAATGAATCTTCTTTAGAATTTGAAGAAGTTGGAGAAATGGAATCCAGTTCAGATTCTGCCCTAGCAGAGCTCAAGTCTCTAGGGAGGTTCTATAGCCTCCTAATAACTGTTTCCTCTTTGTCTGCTTCACACTTGGAGCTCTCATCATCATCTGCCACCTTGTTTACTGAGATGCCAGGGACTCCGTTTGGATTTTCTGCATGCAAAGTAAAAGGTGCATCCACAAATAATGTGTACACCCCAGTAGTAGATTAAAGAACGACTCTTCCTTGCTTAGCTTTATTCATGATCAATTTTTATCCTGCTGGAATTGTGCCTTCTGGTACAATACAGAAAACACTCCTTACCATCTGTCTCAGCAGGAAATTACCCAGCTCTCTTATCCTGGCTTTCGAATTTTGCTTCCAGTCATATTGTACTTCAGTACCTCTCCCTTCTGGTTCCTTTTTCCTTCCCAACATTACTTGCTATGAAACTGTGGCAGCTTTAATTGAAAACCTCACACTTGTTTCCAAGTGCAATTTGGTGGGATTTCGCAGGAGGTCTTGGAAAGTTTCAAATAATGAATGGAATGAAAATAGCAGGAAGTAGAAAGAAGTGAGATGGATTTGCATTTCAGGCTAAGGCCTTTTATTCCCTCGTAAAATCATATATTTATTGAAGTGAGTAAATTATACAAAGATGGCAAAGCAGCAGGGGACGATGTATACTTAAACTGTTGGTAGGCATTTGCTTATTCCATTCCCTGCATTGCTTCTCATACCCATCACATATGATTTCCATTAACCTTGTTCTGTTCTCCTTCCTCCTCCAATTGTCTCTGCTTACTTTAGTTGAGTAAGATGGTAGAAAGACGCTTCTGCCATGTCTCATGCTCGAGAGAGAGAATTTTCCCTATTTTCAGATCAGGAAAGGAAGCTACTACTCTGATACCAGCAGCCAGAAGCAATAGAGATTGTTGGGGTGAACCTTCTTTCTCTGGGTTTCCAGAGCAGGATTTAATTGGGGACTCTGCTGATGTGCTGAGTCATGTCTGTATCCCCCTTTTCCCATTGCTGCTGTACCCTAGCTGGATCGCTGGGTCTCCAAGGTACCGTACAGCCACTCTCACATTTTCCTCTGCCTGTTGGGCTGGGCAGGAAATGTTTGCACTTGGTGACCAAATTGGGAGTACAGAAATTTATTTGGGGGGTGTGGGGGAGGACATTGATTGGGTGGAAGGTCAAGTACTACTAACCATTCCACTGCCATGGCAACTTCATCCCCCTAATGACCATTTTGCATTAGGTCATAATTTGCTGCCATGGCAACCACTACCATTGTGGCCTTCATGTCTGTACAAAGGCCTCCTTCTACAGCAGCTTCATGTATATGGTTTCTACTATCCATTCTCTTGCCATGGCAATCCTGGCCAAATTGTCCTACACAGCATCTGTCACAAAAAAAAAAAAAAAAAGGAAAAGCTTAGCTGTTCCATGCTAAAATCTCAACAGCAATGTACTTTCTTCCACTACAACATTAAGTAGATAGAAATAAACATCAAAATACTTAACACAAATTCCAGATAATTTCCCAGTTTGAGGCTGTATAGCCTCCTTAGTAACAACAACAATTGATGGAAATTGTAGTCCAACACATCTAGCAGACATCAGATTACAGAAGATTGCCCTACAGTTATCTGGAAAAAACATGGTTCATAAATTCTCACTATATGCTTTACCCTCATTCTGGCTTGATATCGATTTCTGGATATGGGAAC